CTATAGTCAAATTACTGTATGCTTCATGTAAATAAAAGGATGACCTAATCTGGGTCCATATTGAAGTTTCGAAATTTTACACATAGGGACAGGTAAACAAATTTTTTCAAGCAAATATAGAAAAGACTCGATAGCATAACAGATCAAAATACCGGAATCACGTTAGGAATGTTTTTGGGCATGTCATAGGTGTTGATCGGGGGAAAGTAAAGATATCGCTCTAATCCTATTATGTCAGTTTTTTATTGCAGTTTCTTTTCATATTCAAGATATTACTAAATTTAGAATGTTTCGTAACAAACCTTTTTTTATCTTGTCAAGATGTTTGTCGTCTAAACAAAGCCTTTTTGGCGCTATTTCTATTCGACTTGACATCGCTTTGTTGATGATGACGAACTTATTCAAGTGAAATCTATTAGCTAGTCGTTTAATAAGCATTTTGTAGAGTGAGATGTGTCCTCGTTGTTGTTGATTTGCCCGTTCAGCTTGTCCAGTGGTTGCAGCAGCTTTTGCTATGCATTTTCGATGCCTTCTTTAGCTACTCCCACACATCCTCGTCTTCAGTGTGTCATATCGATTCTTAACAGTCCTCTTGTGGTCCCATAGGATAACATTTTTGAACTATTTTCGCAATGTGGCATTCTTACTTTGCTCAAATTACACGTTCTATTCTTTGCTAAAGAATTTGACTATATCCTTTCTACATTTGTACATGTTGCCTAATATAAATATCTATCTCTATCGAGTTATAGATACCATTTATCACCTAGTTATACAGTCATCCTTTTGACACATCTGTCAAGCTCCTCTTTTCTTCGATCAGTTTGCCCTAGGGTCTACTCCTGTACTTGAGTATTGTTAAATAGGGCAAAAAAGCGAAAAATTTCATCGACATATTTGCTTTTATATTACGTCTTGTCATGGCATTAGCGTGTACATTCTGTGCAGCGTAACTCTATTGTAAAAAAACTTTGGAAATATAGAAATCTTCTTGCTTCTCATAAATGTAAACGGCATTAAGCATATTATTTTTGACGTTATGTGGCCTTCGTTATGTTAT